GGTCCACTCGTCCGTCTAAGAAACTCTCGGAAAAGAATCTAGGTCCGTTTGAAGTCATATCCCGTCCGGGTACCCATTCCTTTACCATCCGACTTCCCGAATCCATGAAATCCGTCCACCCCGTCTTCCATGTCTCACAGCTAGAACCATCCGTTCCGAACACAATTCCCAATCGGATCCAGCCTCCTCCACCTCCGGTCGAAGTCGACGGAGAACCAGAATATGAGATATCCGAAATCCTAGACTCTAAGCTGGACCGTCGTAGAAGACAATGCCAACTCTTATACCTCGTCCGATGGTCCAGATACGAAGGAACAGACGAAGAGACTTCATGGCTACTAGCCACGGAACTCGGAAACGCGTCCGATCTAGTCTCGGATTTCCACACTGCATATCCAGACAAACCCGGTCCTATTGCTATACAATGAATATACAAAGCGGATATACAAGTACATTAGTAGCAGAGAAGGCAGATCCAAAAATCCTCAGCCATCCATCTCCATGTCCCCACCCGATCCGGATCCGGATTCATCAACGTCCTTGTCAGTGGCCTCAGAACGAGCCGCCTCGGTAATCCGGATTCCATTCCGGATCCCCTCAAGAAGGATGGTCTGGAACTCCCTCTGCTGCTCCAAAAACGCCTCCAAGTTAGTATTCATCCGCTCTATAGCAGTCCTACTCCCTTCCGCCGCTCCGATGCTCTGCTGGAGCAATCCGTTGGTCCAAGCCAGTTCCGCTACAATGCTATTAGCGGCCGCGACCCAGGCCTGATCATCATACTCCACTTCCACCTCATCCGCTACTACCATCTTCATATCCGGATCCGGAGTCGGACTCTGCTGGCGCTTCTTACCCTTGCCTCTCGGAGATGGGTTCTCAGCAGCGCGCTGCCTCTTCTTAGACTTGGAATCCGTAACGGTTCCAGGTCGTCCGGGACAAGGAGCCTTGTCCTTCCGGCACGCGTTACAAGCCTTGATCTATCCGAATGTTAAGAGTCACGGATCCGAAGATTCAAGGATGACTTACCAAGGAATTGCTATCCGCATCGGACCACAGACAGGCCCGACCCTTCTTAGCGCAGCGGGTACAAGCCCCATCCTTATCCGCTGAGATGGCGCGAGACTACGGATCCGATAAGGGACGGATCCGATAAGGGACGGATCCGATAAGGGACGGATCCGATAGAACAAGTCATAACTCACCATTTCCGCCACTATAGCCCTGCGCCTAGCCTCCTCCGCTTCCCTTCGGGCCTCAGCCCGTTCAATCTTCTTAATCCCTGCCAAGCGCTTCCGTTCCGCCTCTTCCGCTTGTTGCTTCAGCTTTTCAGCCTCTTCCTCCTTCCGAACCTCGGCCTCAGCAGCAGCCAGCGCGGCCTGGATATCCGCCAGAGTCTGCTTAGCGGTCTTCTTAGAGCCGGATCCGTTATCAGTCATGGTTGAGATAAGCTAGTGGTAGTGAAAAAGTAGGGAAAGGAAGGAACACCCTGCGACGCTTTGGCATCCGTATATCTGTCAGAATCCGAACTCAGCAACTTCTCCCATCAGCTTCTCCATTGTCTCGCACTCATACCATCCGTTCTGGATCGCTGATTCTTGTGCCTCTAGGGATCGGCCCTAAGGGGGGGATACTGTCATATACCATATATCCGGTTACAGATCCAATGATCTGGATCTCAGATCCGATCCAGATCCGATGAACATACCCATCGTCCGGTCCACAGATCCGCTTTGATTCTTATTTCATTTCCTGTTCATATAACTCTAACTATCGTTCATCTCCTTTCGGTATTCCTGTACACCGGTATACCGGTTATCCTTTACTTCCGCTTTGCTTACTGATCCGCTATGCTTACTGATCCGCTACACTTACAAATCCGCTTTTACTTGTACTTCATTCCCGGTTCATGATTCGTGATCCATCCAACTTACCAATACACTCCGCTTAGACTTTGCTTATACTTTCGTACATAGCCTCGCACCTTTGCTTATTGATCATTCCGTTAGCTATCCGTAGTATATAAACCTTTGTATATGCGCTGTAGTAGATCAGTTTGAATATCATCTTAGATTGCACTCATTCCGTCTGGACTCTGAGTCCCTCCGTTATCCATCCGGACTTGAGTACGCTACTCTTGTCTACTCCGAGACTTAGGATAGATTCCTATAGTCTACATATCCGCCTCTGTCTTCGGACAGTCCTCACCCGTTAGTTTCTAGTCTGGATCCGATCCGGATTGGCCGTTACTCTATACACGCGATACTTTAGCTCTCTGAAATAAGGGGCAAGACTCGGGAAAGGGGCACAGCGCACGAGCTGAGGCCGAAGCCCTTCGGATCCGATACTACTTGAGTACGGTCTTAACAGCTTGAATTGGTACTGAGATGGTGGAGTGGGACAAGTTCTTCCTCATTACTACTATCTGACTCCTCAATCACTCGGGAAGTTTTTTTTCTGATTTGCGTGTCAGCAATTTTTCTTTCATTGTTCAGAGTCAAGACTTACTATAGTTTTTTGTTGACTTGCTTCGTTTTGCAGGAGTAGGTTCAACTCTGACTGTTGTTGGAGAGCGGTCACGCTTAGTAGTGTGTGACTTGCTTTGAAGTTGTTCCCACACTTGCCCAGCACCAATTGATCAGCCCCACATCACACCATTACCACGAGATATATGTGCTTACCAGGATTTTCCAAAGCTTGGTCCTTTGCCTTGCGTCGTGCTTAGATTCAGTGAGTTCAATTTAGCCTTGTGAATATCACTACTAACTTACGGCGTGAAGCAGTTTGTGGCATTGAAAGTCAAGTTCAGGTTGGCGTCTAATGTAAGGCAGTAATCCTGGAACAAATAAGCACAAGATACCAAATGAGTGTGGTATTGTCTTTCTGAAAGACTCGAAAGGTGAGTGAGTGTTCTCAAGTTTTGGTTGTAGAGACGACTGAGATGTGCAATTTACAGTCCGATTATATATGATCTGTTGGCCGAGCAAGGGTTGATATATGAACCTATCCTTGTCCGGCTTAGTTCAAGTCTGATTGTGTCCCGGTGTCATGCATGGTATGTGATCCATACCATGACATATACACAACAGCAGTGACAGGGAAGGTAGAAGACACCTGACTGATTCCTATCACCAAGTTACCTTATCATTTTTCATTCATTTCTTAGCTAGTATTTTCACTTTCAAACTTCACTCCTATTTTTTTCCATGTATTTCTATTTTGTTCCATGAGATTCTATCTCTTTCTATTTTTCTAGGCATATTTAGCCACCAGACTTTTCCTCAAGCCACCAAACATGTTAGTAATCATGTCATGTGACTGGGAAATACTCTGATTTGTAAGGATTCAACTTGACTCATCATGTTTGGTCATGATTCGTCATGCTTTGTAAAACTTGCAACTGTATTTGTAATCCACTTTGTCATAAGGCTGATTCAGCACACCTAAGGACTTGGTTTGTAAGCACATTCTTACCAATCCATGTGATGACTCATGCTTTTCATTTTCATTCTTTGTAATACTACACTTCATTTTGTATGTACATTAGTAAACAAGCTGACTCAACACAAGTTTGTAAGCACATTCTTACCAATCTATGTGATGAATCATGCTTAGTAAGATGGCCTCCCAAAAGGTATATAAGGAGCCCATTTTCACCCATGCAATCTAAGCTTCCCACTTTAACTCTTTTCTCAAACCGTGTGAGAACCAGTAAGATCTAAGTGCAGGCCATTCAGCAGCCTTGAAGTTAAGAATAAGAAACATATATTCAAGTTATATACTACCTTACAGGGGTTGACTATATAACAAAGTACAGCTACCTAGCTAAAGTTTATCAGCACTACTTTCCTCTCTCTTTTTCAGGAAGGGAGACACGAATCACGAGACACACTTCACGAATCCACGGGCACACACTTGCCAAAACACATACAAACTTTACACTCAGTATTTCGAGACCATGAGGTTTAAACTAACCAAGGAACAAGAAGGAGAATATTGAAAGACATTCCTCCCAAGAACTCAGCACGTTATCTACCACGAAAACTGGAAAAGTCGTAGACTGTGTACTTAAGGACTGGCAAGAAGTCTTATCCTGTATAGTTGTGTTGTCACTATATACGCATTGTATATAAGACCCTTAAGTAACAAGACACCGGTGAGTTTATGCCCCAAACTCTCAGCATCCAGTATTCTCTCTGGGCCAGTACTGACAATATGATACCAGAGCTTGTGTGCGCACATACTGATTCTGCCATTGGTGTGTTCCGCTCCAGGACCATTTTTTTCTAATAATTGACATGTCTCCGAGATCCTACCAGCGGAACAAGGGCCGAGCTGTGATCCTCCGGCATTATTTTGTTTGCTGGCGCCGGGGGTGAGCTTAACATGATTGTTGACGCAATATATTGTGAGTACTGAAATAACGCTTGGACCTTACTGTCTTTAGTGATGCTGCTAGCTGCTAGCATAGGTACCGAACTCAAAAGACACTGCACTTGTGCATATTCCGAGTTGTCAGCTGCACAGACAAGGTTCCATACCGTACACAATTCATAAGTGAAATTTACACTGACAAATTCATTTTTACCAAATACACCAGCAGCCAATACCCACGCCTTTTTCACCCAGGACACTTACTCTCCTCTCGCATATTCTCCGTCACAGACACATGCACATTTTTTACCAAAGTAAGTGAATTTCATAGAACAATACACGTGCGTTCTTTACCAAATATGCTAGCTACATCCCTCGCTCTATTCTTGCGTGCTCTCTGCTACCGTGACGAGGCTTCACCAACAACACATGCGCGTTCTTTACCAAAGTAAGTGGATTTTATAGAACAATACATGTGTGTTCTTTACCAAATATACCAGCTCACTCTATTCTTGCATGTTCTCTGCTACCGTGACGACTTCACCAACAACACACACACATTTTTTACCAAAGTAAGTGAATTTTTATAGAACAATACACGTGCGTTCTTTACTAAATACACTAAAATCATGCCTGAAACAACTTGCCCTGCGTGCAACAAAAAACTCACATTGATAACCGGTTACAGCCAGCACCTTGCTCGAACCAGCAACCCTGTTTGTCGAGCTCTCTACCTCTCTTCACAGGACTTCAACCTTCCCCCTACTCCAGAACCAAATCTGCCACAGTTTGAAGGAGAACATTTTGGGATGGACGACGATCTTGAGTGGCAAGGGTTTGATGAGCAGATCAATGATTGTGGCGATCCCACAGACGAGGAGCATTCGGATGATGGCAGGGACGATGATGGCTTCAACGAGTGGGAACCTCCTCCAGCACAAGAGTCTCACTCCACATACCCTAATGGTGGTGATTCCAACGACTCAGAATTACCTCTCATCCCTGATATTCCAGAAGAGTGAGAAGCTTGGTGTGAAGTAGAGCAACGACTCCGTGATCATGAGCAGGAACCCATCATTGTTGAGTATCCCTGTTGACAAGCCAGTGTAGAGACTCGTGTTTCTGTGGGCTCATATGGGCTCATTTTACGAATTCTGACAACTGGCCTTCATGGCAGGACTCGCACTATCATCCACTATGACTTCCCTATAGAGTGCACCACTTCCCGCGAAATGCGCCATAGGCGCGACACTTTCCCGGACAACGCGCAGCATTCCCGCGTGCGCGCCTTGTGCGCTTTCTCGCGCTTAAGCGCACTGCATCACACATCATTCGGGAGCATCCATCCATTGTCTGACCAGTCCCTCGGTATGTCCCTTTCATTATCTGACCATATTTGGCATATTACACTTCCTATTTCGTTATGGACCCTTACTTTACATCACTTTACCTCACTTACATACTTAGAGCGCTCCCTATTCGGCGCTGAGCCCTGGGAGAGCGCTTAGGTAGAACTTACATACTCTCATGTTCATTTTACACGGAAGCTTCCTACCACCACCTTCCTACCACTCAGTATCTATCACCAGTTAGTTCCATGCAATGCATGTGTCAATCATCGTTTTGAGGCCCTAGCATCAGTCTATAGCTAGTGGCACTACCAGTATCCGTCTTCTACACTTGTGCACTCCTTGCACTACCTTCCCGCACTTCGCGCACTTTCGCACTTCGCTTTCCCATGCGCACCTTCAGCGCATTTCTCGCGCTTTCACCGCCATTCATCAGGGTTGATCAGCATCATTCCGTGGATCCTTGCTTTCCTTGCAGTCCCCTTTAGGGTCGAACGTTCTTGCATTCTGCGAGTATAGCAGCTAGGCAGAGCCAAGACTCACTTATACTGGTTGAGCATTTTTAGATATTTCATATATGTGCCTGCCAGGTTGTGATACCCACACCGGACAGCCTGTCAATTTAACTCAGCAGTCCAGTAATTCTGCCTACTGTGCTCATCTAGACAGCTTGAACACTGATAACATCTACGCTCCATTTGCCTTGAAAATCGATTGGGAAATGGCTCGGTGGGCAAAATTACAAGGTCCCAGTTCAACAGCATTTTCAGATCTTCTTTCTATTGAGAGTGTAAGTTCGTCATGCTCCTGTCAAATTGGCACTATCTTATTCTAGAGCCTCTAGATCAGTGAAAATATCGGACTCTCCTTCAAGAACTCACGTGAGCTGAACAAGATCATCAACGGTGAACTTCCAGGCCGCCCTGAATTCAAATGTGAACAGATCATCGTCGCTGGTCAAGTGTTCAATATTTATTATCATGATATAATTGAATGTATCAAAGTGCTCTTTGGTGATCCGAATTTCGCCCAGTATCTCATCTTTGTACCCGAATGCCACTACGCTGATGAAGACAAGACTGTTCGTTTATATCACGACATGCACACTGGTAAATGGTGGTGGAACTGCCAGGTTTGTAAAACTTGATCTGCGAGTCAATCTGTAACTAACTAACATGATATTCTCAGAAAAAGCTTGATGAGGAGCATCCTGGCGCAACAGTAATCCCAGTCATAATCTCGTCAGACAAGACCCAAGTGACCATGTTCCACAACAAGACAGCATACCCAGTATACCTCACTATCAGCAATATTCCAAAAGAGATCCGCCAGAAGCCATCGCGCCAGGCCCACATTCTCCTTGCGTACCTCCCGACCACTCGCCTCAAACACATCACAAACAAAGCTTCTCAGTGTTGCATGCTTGCAAACCTCTATCATGCTTGTATGGGACATATTCTCGCTCCCCTCAGCACTGTCGGCATTGAAGGGATCAATATGCGAAGTGGTGATGGAGCCATGCGACGAGGTCATCCTCTTTTTGCTTGCTTTGTCGGAGATTATCCAGAGCAGGTCTTAGTGACTGGGGTCAAGACTATGACATGTCCAAACTGTGATGTTCCCTCCGATGAACTAGGTTTATTGGCTGGGGCTGTGAACTTTCAACCATGAGACCTGGCTGCTGTGCTTGATGCACTCACCACTCTCGATGATGGTGGAGTAGCCTTTGTGCGTGCATGCGCAGAGGCTGGTATTAAGCCTATCACTCACCCTTTCTGGGAGCCACTCCCGCTGGTCAACATCTTCAAGTCTATCACGCCAGACATTCTCCATCAATTATACCAAGGTCTTGTGAAGCACCTGCTTGCTTGGTTGTCCGATGCGTGCGGTGGTGAAGAGATAGATGCACGATGTCGATGCCTTCCCCCTAATCATCATATTTGACACTTTGTCAAGGGTATCACAACACTTTCACGATTAAGCAGTACCAAGCATAGACAAATATGTCAGTTCTTGCTCGGCATCATCATTGATATCAGACTCCCAAACAATATGTCCTCTGCTCGACTCCTCTGTGCTGTCCGTGGGTTGCTGGATTTTTTATATATCACACAATACCCGTGTCACAGTTCTGAGACACTGGTATTCCTCAATGAGGCTCTTGAGCTCTTCCACGGGAACAAGGACATATTCATTGACCTTGGCATTCGGAACTCATTCAACCTACCAAAGCTTCATTTCGCACTTCACTATACTCATATGATTTGAACATATGGCACAACCGACAATTATAATACTGAATCCACGGAGTGTCTCCACATTGACCTCGCAAAAGATGCCTACCACTCCACAAACCACAAAAACGAGTTCGCACAGATGGCCACTTGGCTCGAATGAAGGGAGAAAATTCTATGCCATGAAAAATATATCCAGTGGGAACTTGGAGGCACAGAGCCTTATCGGGACATCAAACTTGCCCTCCAGATATGTCATTTTGTCGTACTCAGGTGATGATGAAGCATCCAACTCTCAAGGCTGTCACCATTGACAAGATCAAGAGTGACTATGGTGCCCTATACTTCGCAAATCACTTGCACGCTACATTGCAAAAGCTGCACTTCCTGCAAATGCCACAGTCACACCTGCGCAGCTCAAACATCATGCCGCTAATGTGCACATACCCTTTCAAAAAGTGCTGGTATTTCACAAAGTCAAGTGGGTCTTGGTCGGTACTCGTGGTCATGGTGATCCTCCAGCAACCGTCAATAGCATACATGCACACCCTGGATGGCATGCAGGAAAATTCAAATCCGACAATGTCCCCCCCCCCCTCGATTTGATACTGCGTTAGTCAATGATGGTACAGGTGGGCCAGTCGGCATCAAGGGTGAGTCACTGTTATGTTACTAGCTGATAGAAATTGACAATGAGCAACTATATGTACTTAGGGTATCGAGTTGCACAAGTCCGGGTGATTTTCTCAATCCCTCCTAAGGCCATCTCCATGCTATTTCCATCGACATTCCACCCTCCGAAGCATCTAGCTTACATTGAGTGGTTCTCCCCCTTTTGTGCACCTGAACACAATCATGGCCTATACAAAGTCTCATGCGTCATCACAATGAGCAACGCTTGGCTAGTGCCATACCTATTACCAATGTACATCGTAGTGCTCATTTAATTCCGCATTTCAGTCATGTTGCTCCTCGTGACTGGACTTCTGCTAATGTCCTCGACGAGTGCAAATCTTTCTTCATTAATTCATACTTGGATAGACACACCTTTGTGACTTTGTGCTAGCTATGCACAATTTTTGATAAACTAGAGAGCCTAGGTCAAACTTTAGTAAAATTTTGCTAGCCTAGCAAGCTTAGGTCAAACTAATGCTAATTGTTCTAAATTTCTCTAAGTTAATATGGGAGGGTTTTCCTGATGTACATCATGCATGGTAGTATTGATTCAGTCTTTCAAAGTCTTTTCCAGTCCTGGACCGGTTGTGACTGCAACCAGTCTGGACCGACTGCAAGACTGCTTGAGACCACTGGCAACCGGTTTTTGTCAGTCCGGTCCAGGTCTTACATTGAGGGCCTAAATATAAAGACCAGTTTGGTCCGGTTGCGCTCAAATCAGGGCAAAAAACCGGACCGAACCAGACTTTAAAACTCTAATTGTACCAACAAACCATCAAACACTCCATACCTAGAGGGATCCGACTAAATGCAGGCTGTTCAGTCAATGTCACGGTAGAGAAGTGAGATATAACAACCTCATCACCAACCACATTTATTTCCCCCCAGTGTATGAACTCAGCGTCGGCCTTTGCCCGACATCATGCTGACAGAGTACGTGATTACCTATACACCACATGATAAGCATACATACACATACGATAGATAGGCGGGAGTAAACCCCCCGCGAAAAGGGTTATGTCTGACATAGGGTCTTCGACCCCAAAGGACAATAAAATATGAATTAAATAAAAATAAAAATAAAAACCATCTCTCGTTTCTTTCGATACATTCATGCCCCCCTCATTTTTTACTAAAGATGCTCGCTTAAGCATATATGAATTCCCCTCTAATATTTCCATACATACAATAGTTTCTACTCTGCCTGTTGTGAATGAGTTTCAAAGGGTGCATTTTACATAGTGGAGGAACCGCAAGCTGATATTCTACAGTAGACTCGATGTATAGTTGTGGAACATTATAAAGTACTGCGACGGAAATTGGGACGTGCTACACGCCCTCTCAAATCTACTTAGGAACATAAATAAGTACTACGACGAAAGTCTCCCTCTCCCTGCAGAGTACCTGACCAGTGTCGATCATATCGAGCATCTCCCTACCTACATACTGCTGCTAGTTGTCACATGCACGCGCTCCTGGAAAACAATTGAAGTCATGCCGGTTGCTGCATCGGAACCTGTCACGAGCGTGGCGTGATATTCTCGAAGGCTGAGGATCAAGCGTGGTCCAAGCACAAACATTTGGAGGAGAAATAAAATTTGAGAAAAACCATCATAAATCCGATATTCCGAGGAATTTGGGTTCTGTGGAAATGATGAACCGTGTTCGCATACAGAGGTTGGTGATCAGCATACCCCTGAAAATGTTGGAGACAAAAAACCGCCTAGCTCGAAGCAAGAAATAGCAACAAAACTAGCACGTGCGAACTTTCAGTGGAAAAAGAGAACAAAATTGACATTGCGAGCTCACCTCGCAAAGTAAACGATGTGACTTTTCATCAACACCGCGAAACAGTCCCGCACAATCCCGCCTGTCGACCGTCGTCGCAGTTCACGGAAATATTTTACAGCAATCCAGACTGCAAAACACAATGCGACGACCTCCCATACAGCATCGAGTATCCAAGCGAGGGAAATCAGGAGCGAGCTATTTCCCTCATAGTCAGTGGTACACTGATAGGTGCCGGAGAGAATGAGTTCCACTGGTACTCGTCAATGAGATTAAATTTTTCATCCATAATTAAGCTTACCCGCTATAATTTGCCTTGTTGCTATTGCGACAGATATTCCGGCGGCGATGAAGACAGCCAGGCAGATGCCAACGAGAACTATCAGAACCTTTTTGGACCGTTGATACATGGCATTTAACCGAGCGATCATGATGACTTGCACGATCAGGTCAATATCACTGACATATTGCAGCTGCGTAACTCACCGCCCAGTATTGCATTTACGACCACAATCGTCCAAGTTATTGCGGATCGTATGATAAGGCCTAGCAAAATCAGTCGGTGATCAGCCTCGCAGGATCACAAATTCGAAACAAACTCACAGCTGTAGCAGTGAACAAATTGAACCAACAGGTTGGTCAAGAATCTCACTCACCCCTACATCAAAGTGCAGTTGATTAGATGAGCATGGCAGGTTGATGCAAAATACCCACTACATCAGTCATCGAGATTGTCGGAATATCAGCTGTATGCCGCCGGTCAGAAGAAACAAACATGGTGATTCGTGAATGTGAGGAGACATACTCAGAATCTGGATGCTGATTGTAAGTGATGGTTTATTAGCGCAGGACCAATTGCATAGCCTTCCACACGTACACAGAAGCGAATATTCCAAGATAGCGCACCTAGGAATATTGTCAAGTCAGCACAACTTTCCAACCAACATAATACACGTACACTAAGATACAAAAAGGTCATGAGGGACCAGCGTTGCCTCTGTCGCAAATTAATAATATTTTCACAGAATTCTTCCGATGACTCACCCAAACTAATTCGACCTATAAAACGATTTTTAGTGAGATAGCTGCTCCAGTAATGACATCAACATACCTCTTGTCCGAACGTCAGCACTGGAAATACCGTAAGGATATCAGCAGTTGTTGAAAATTTTATCGCTCACCCCAATCATAGACCAACGCAGTAGAGGCGCCAACTGGACAACCAAGGTTAGAAAACCGTTAGATCGACATATTACTGACATTATCGGACTGGCTCGCCACGAACCTACGAAGTAACTGTAAATACGCCATGAATCAATGGACGGCCACCAAATAGGATCATTTGAGACCACTGTCATACTGTTAGAGAATCGAGTGAGAGACGACCCTGGACGGGACGTATTGATGGGGGCGTGATATATTCTTCCAACTCCTTATATAATAAACTGCATCATGTGGGACTGCGGATTAATTAGACCGGGATATAGTGGAGTTAGAGCAACCTTATGTAGACAATCCTCATAGTATTTAAGGCGTGTTCTGATAGAAAAAACCCGTCGTTCGGCAAGTTTCGAACCTGCACAGTCCAAGAGAAACAGATTTTGATTCTGTTTTGGTACTAACCACTTGGCTAAGAGCAGTTACATGAGCCTTCGAAGAAACCATCCATGAGCGAATGTCAAGGTGTGTTCCGAGCGTGGGCATCTTTCGAACCTACACAGTGCAGGAGAAACAGATTTTGATTCTGTTGTGGTAGACGCTACGTAGTAGTTGAGATGAAGTCATCCGAAGAACTATCCATAAGGGTGGGATTTGTCAGCAGGTTTGAAGTCGAGTGGCAATGCATAGAATTGATTACAGTAAACCGTGTATTCAACTGGTATTCTTCTAATGGTCATATTGATCATGCCGAATCTGATAATCAGTCTACGAGAACAGTTTCTTGTATGATTTCTTCTCCCTCTCCCTTTTTTCCTTCTTCTTCTGCCTCACTTTGGCGAGCTCTCCCAGGATCGCTGGATCTTCAGGTGCAAGTTGACTAGCAGCAACAAGATCCGCTTCAGCTTCATCTTCCTGCTTCAGAATTACATGCGCTGACGCCCTACGATAAAGGGCCTTGGCTTTATCTGGGCTGCTCAGCTGCAGACGGTCCAAAGCTCGCGTGGTATTCTTTACCGCAGTTTCGGTAGCTGCTGGTTGCGTGCGTAGCGCAGCGAGTGCCGAGTTTAATAAAAGGGGTGCAAGGAGCGACTCATAAGAGTCCTTAAGCTCCGGTGGAGAGTTTTCCGGTAATACGGGATGCACGTCTAGGTACCTTATCGATTCTGACATTTTGTTAACAGTGCAGGCGAGAAATGTTTGCAGGATTACTCACTGAGGTAGGTTTTGAGTGCAAGTTCTATTTGCCCATCCTTGAAGAGCTTGTTACCGATCTCGCGGATTTTACGTGCAATATCCAGCGCAACCTCGGGGTTCTGCACATCGGAATCGTCGTCTTCAGGGTAGTCCTCGTAGTCATCACCAACAGTCGCCTCGGAAGCCACGAGGGAAGGGTCATCCGGTGAGAGAACGCCGCAAGCAGATATATTGATGGGGGAAGTGGGAACATCTCCAGACGCAGTAGGGAAGTTTTCGATTGTACGGACTACGCATGGCATGGTAAGCAATTCGTGAAAAAAGGAAGACAGGCGCTTGGGCAATATGTCATACCTACTGACTTGCCCTTGATCACTTCACCGAAAACCACGTGCTTGCCATCAAGATGGGGTGTTTGGTTCACGGTAATAAAGAATTGCGAGCCATTAGTATCTTTTCCTGCATTTGCCTGAGAAGTCGATTAAAACCATTCTGCTGAATGAAAACTGAAGGGGGATTCTACCATAGATAGCAAGAAAGGTTTCGTGTGCTTCACGAGGAACGCCTCGTCTTCAAATTTCTCTCCGTAAATTGATTCCCCTCCGGTGCCTATGTAGACAATGAGTTTGTGACATCTAGATGTAGTTCTAGGACGCACCATTGCCCGCCGTGAAGTCACCACCTTGACACATGAACCTGATCCACTGCATTAGCCTTCATTGTGACATGAGGTGAAAGCTCCTACCCCTTGATTACGCGGTGAAAGCCAGATCCAGCGAAGCAAAGAGGCTTGCCAGACTTTCCGACACCCTTTTCACCCGTACACAATGCACCTGGAAACGTTAAAACTCTGACGCGACTAACCAAGTATCTGAGAACTCACGAAAGTTTTCAGCTGTCTTTGGTACTAAGTCCGCGTATAGCGAGAATACGATACGCCCAGTGGGCTTGCCACCGATGGTGATGTCAAAGTAAGCGATAGGGCGCTCTGCAGATGCTTCAGACATGGCGCGCTTAAAGGTAAACAAGCGAATTCAAGAACAACTTGTCAGTGGGGTTTTAACAGCGCTTGTATGTCACGAGTTGACGAGGGTTATAATAGATCGGATGCTGTAAGAGTGACGAACAGTTGTTTCTGGCAGTTTCGAGAACTGTCGTGATATCGATGCGGCCGATATCATCGCGACGACCCATCAATTTATATTTTTTCCTAGTGAAGCAAGTCCAAAAGCTGGCTGCATTCTACGG